GTCGGACTAGATGATCTGCCCAGGTCCCTTCCGACCCTAGAAACTATGAAACTTTCAGGAGACACTTCTCGGAGCTGCACAAGCCACTTTCACTCTGGCCTTTCCAAACCTTTGCCAGTTTAACTTTATAATGGTCTTCTAAAGAAATGTCCTAGGTGCAGTGTATTATGGAAGCAGGGCCCTATAACTGCCACCTGTCCCTCACCCTGCAGGACATTTTCATGTATATTTATGCTCCTTCCATAAATTAGTTTAAGCCTCTTCCTGCTCTCAAAAGGAATCTGTAAATACCCCAAAGAGCAGCTTAGAGTAAGTTATACTGCGCTGGCACCCGTCATTTATACACCAGAACTAGCAACTGCCACGCTTGGAAACGTTTGCTGAAATTCAGAATGATTCAGAAGTAAGAAAGCAAAATATCTTTTCACCAGCAGGGACGGTGTGACACTCGGATGTGCTGATTTCTGGTTATAACCGATAGATAGAAAACCATGTGAGGTTTCTGTTAAGGTTTTGCACCAGAAAAAAACTCCACACACAATATTTTGAGCAGCTCTAAGGAGAAAGTTAAAATCTCCTTCAGGGGAAGAAGGGACAGTCCATTTTTGCTGCTGCTCAGGTTGTGCAGAGCCCACTTTCTGTATGGTTGGGCTGGTTTTCAAGATAAGAGGGAACGTATTTACACAGATCGGCCAAAAGAAAAAGACAACAAATATTTCTGTGTTTTAAATGAGGGCTGTGAGCCTTTCAGCAGAAACCTTCAGCACTCCCTGCTATTGCAGCAGCCATTTCCCACCAAGCCCTGCCCAGTATGTCACAGAAAAAAACATAGCTAAAAGGGGAAAAATAGGTGACCACAGAAACACAACTACAAGTTCTCAGTGACAGTCACTTCCCTTCCTGCCTTCCTGGAGGGAAGTGAGGCAGATAAGACGCTAACAGAAGACAAATCCTGACAATAAAGAAACCAGCTACAGAACCACAGTTTCACTGCAAAGTCCTAGAAAAGACTCAAGTACCCGACACCTCCGAAAAGCGTAAAAAAGGGACTTTTCCTGGCTAGAGGATCAAGGATTCATCAGACGGAGCAGGGCGGCAGAACAATGAGGATCTTCCCAGGGCTTGGCTGGATGCTCCTTCTAGGTAAGATGCAATGATCCCTGTAGGGCCCAGCAGAAACACAGCCAGTGCCGGCCTTCTTCAGCCTGCTCATACCCCGTCTGCTGTAGTGTTGCAAAGCGGTGGCTGGCACTGCAGCAGCGACTGCAGGACGTGTCTTGCAGGCTTCCAGTAAGTTTGTAGGATCCCCCAGGGCACTGCTCCTGGAGTAGGGTGTGCTGTGCCTCTTCCTTGGGGTAAATCTCCCCTTGAGCTCTTTGTCAGGGTAGAGCATATTTGCACTGTTTATGCAGAGCTGTTTGATCAGGTTTCTTCCAAAAAGCCCCTGATGAGAAAGCTATAGCAAACTGAGACTTTATATTTGCAAGTCCCCAAAAACTTCCCAATTCCAATGGAGCAGAAGGGGGGGTCACAGGCAGGATCTCTCTCGTTTTGGCAACGCAATCCACTCGCACAATCTCATGGTTTATTCTCCAGGGTCAGCCGAGTTCATGGGCATTTTGTCCTGGTGGTAATGCCCATTACCCAGTACTCCGCCTGACAGCCCATCCCCACCTCATCTCTTCCTCCCTACCAGGAGAAGGGGTGTAGTGTCCACTTCTATGAGGGTTGTTAATTAGAAAATTAAAAAAAAAAGCCACTAGCTGGGGTCTCCAGCCTTGCGTTAGGCAAGTCTCCCCATCATCCAGCAGCCGGAGGGAGGAAAGCAAGGAGCCCAGTTAGCCTGTGTTCTGAGCAAGAGACTGTTCAGGGGAATTTGCCCCTGATTAGAGGCGTGTGTGTGGGGAGGTCTTATCTATTTGCTGCCCCCATGGTGAATGGATAAGGGTGACAAACATCTCAACATTTCCCAGATCTGTCCCTGCCTTCAAACGTGCAGAGGGATTGCCAAAGCAAATCTCTACACTACTCCTCACCGCTGGGGCATGGAAATGACTCTCCATGTCTCTGCCTCC